TGTATCCCACAGGATCTTGTATGTTGTATTTCTATTTTCATTTGATTCTAGGAATTTGTAAATGTCCCCGATTTCTTCAATGACCCACTGAATTCCAAAGGAAAGTGCCTTCTGTTCTCCTACATGATCATTCCCAAGGAAATAATCTCAATATAGCCCTTCTTAAGATGGTTATCAGCTAGAGCACTATGTACAGGCAGAGAAATGGAGAGAACTTCTCTAAAGTCATTTCACCATGCAAATCTTAGGAATATTAACTGGTTAGCCTGTATTTCTGCGGGGTGCAGATTCTTGTACCAGTGAGACTCTCCCTCTTTCTCCTCTACTGCCACCCAAAAGGTGCACAACTCCCTCTACCATGTTTCCATGGTTGGTACTGGCCCTTTTGTTTCACTCTTTATTCCATAATCCAACATCTATCAGTTTCTTCAAATCTGTCTTTCTTATATTGAATTGCATTATTATCGCATGATCCCCATCTCTATGAGAAGCTACATTTTATTTGTTTTAATTCTTTTTTCATGGAGACATAGGTGAGTAGTAGGTGCCATTAACTTGCCATCTTGGGATTCTTCTCTTCTCAATACAGTAATTATTGTTTAAACTTGTGTTTTCATGTTCACTGTTATTTACACCACTTGTTATATAGTGCTATACTTCAAGGGTATTGAAGTGTATGGGACTATTATTTATTCCCAACACCTTGTAGTTTTGTTTTTTCTTTTTCATGTATTTGTTTTTAAATTATTTTCCCCTTCAGTATTGTACCATGAGAACTTCATATAATTTTAGACTTATTATCTACTAGTATTTGGTCTTTGATTTTCTATAGACTAAGAGTCTTAAAAGCTAAACTTATAGGGCTGGGGTTGTAGCTCAGTGGTAGAGCACTTGCCTTGCACATATAAGGCACTGGGTTCAATCCTCAGCACCACATAAAAATAAATAAAATAAATAAAGATATTATGTTCATCTCTTTAAATTTTTTAAATTTTAATTTGTTATATATGATAACCGAATGCATTACAATTCATATTACACATATAGAGCACAATTTTTCATATCTCTAGTTGTACACAAAGTAGAGACACATCCTTCATGTCTTCATACATGTACTTTGGTAACGATGACCATTGCATTTCACTGTCTTTCCTACTCTTATGCCCCCTTCCTTCCTTCCCCTTTTCCCCTTTGCCCCTTTGCCCTATGTAGACTTCATTTAATCCTCTCACCCCCCTCCCCCACAGCATGTTATGAATCAGCATCCTTAAATGAGAGAAAGTATATAGAATTTTGTTTTGGGGTATTGTCTAATTTCACTTAGCATTATGTTCTCCAGCTCCATTCATTTACCTGCACATGCATGATTTTATTCTCTTTTAAGCTGAATAATATTCCATTGTGTATATACATACCACATTTTCTTTATCCATTCATCTACTGAAGGACATCTAGGTTGGTTCCACAGTTTAGCTATTGTGAATTGTGCTGTTATAAACATTGATGTGACTGTGTCCCTGTAGTATGCTGTTTTTAAGTCCTTTGGGTATAGTCTGAGGAGAGGAATATCTGAGTCAAATGGTAGTTCCATTCCTAGATTTCCAAGGAATCTCCATACTGCTTTCCATATTGGCTGCACCAATTTGCAGTCCCACCAGCAATGTATCAGTGTACCTTTTTCCCCACATCCTCTTCAACACATATTGTTGTTTGTCTTCATAATAGCTGCCATTCTGACTGGAGTGAGATGAAATCTTAGAGTAGTTTTGATTTGCATTTCTCTAATTGCTAGAAATGTTGAACATTTTTTTTCATATATTTGTTGATTGATTGTATATCATTTTCTGAGAAGTGTCTCTTCATGTCCTTGGCCCATTTATTGATTGGGTTATTTGTTTTTTTGGTGTTAAGATTTTTTAGTTCTTTATATATTCTAGAGATTAGTGCTCTGACATGAGTGTGGTAAGAATTTGTTCCCAATTAGTAGGCTCTCTATTCACCTCACTGATTGTTTCTTTTGCTGAAAATAAACTTTTTAGTTTGAATCCATCCTTCCATTGATTCTTGATATTAATTATTCTTAATTTCATATTTTTAAAAACCTGTAAAAACAAAAGCCAGACTTGTAAAATGAGGTTTATGTGAATATATGACAGTTTTCCATGATGAAGTATATGATCCATGGACTTAATGACATCTATTTTGTTGCTCAGAGGCCCTTTTAAAAATATTTCTATATGAAGTATTTAATAAGATTCATTTTAATTCAGCTAAAATAACAGTTATTAAGTTATTATTATATTCTATGTACTGTGTGCTTTGTTTTGTACTAAAATGAAATTACTGGCTGCTTTTGAATTTGTTATGTGTTAGTAGCCTAAGCAAAGCCATAAACTAGTAGTTTTTATAAAACATGTAAGGTAATTTATAGAAACTTGGGAACACAGAAAAAGGGCATCTAACATCAAAGCCTTGAGGATAGTGGGGAGGAGAGCTGTGAGAACAGAGATCAGGGAAATTCTTCTTGGGAAAGAAGCTGTCAGAAATAGGACTTAAAGGATAACAATTTGGTTCCAGAGAAAAGGATGAAAATGAAGAGAAGGTACTTTAGGATTTAGAATTTAAATAAAAGCAGTATAAAATACTGATTAAGATCTGGCTTTTGGAGTAAGACATCTGTGTGGCCTTGGAAGTTTTGATTAACTCTTGAACCTTTATCCTCACCAGCAGTACTTATTTCACTATGATGCTTGTGAGGATTACATGAAATCATGCATAAGGCATAAAATGTCCTAAGTTTGTTAAAGTTACATGGTGGGTTCTTTATAAGTAGAAATTACTATTATTTATTGTCATTATTAGAGTCATTGTATTCCACATTGTGTGAATTATTGCATTACTCTTAAAGATTTGTTCTAGTTATTGGTAATCTAACCATATGTAGATCTAATTCTTTAGATTTGTAATATAGAATAATCATGTTATTGATCATAATTACTATTATCCCATGTACTTGGCTATATTAGGACGTTATATCTATTTTTCATGATTATTACTTTATTACAAAATTACCTCTCTGGAGTACAGTGGTGCATGCCTGTAATCACAGTTGCTCAGATGTCTGAGGCAGGAGAATCAAGGTTGAAGGCCAACCTCAGCAACTTAGCCAGGTCTTAAGCTATTTATTGAGACCTCCTGTCTCAAAATAAATAAAAAAGGATGAGGATGTGGCTCAGTGGTTAAGCATCCCTGGGTTCAATCATCTTTAGTACCAAGAAAAAGAAAGAAAAATAAAAGAAAATTACCTCTGACCTGAAGCTTAAAGCACAAGGAGGCTAAAAAGCAGAGGAGCACCGAGGTTAAGAGTACTGAGAGATGTTGCCACAGGTAAATAGGCCACAATCTACAACATCAAAATAAAGACAAATTGATTATATTAGGTGTTTCATACTTAAAGCACAGACTTTTTGTGATTTTAGCAACACAGAGGCAATCTAAAAACCCTCTAGGTTACTGAAGGCTGTACAAATGTTAGACTATGCATTAATTTAGTTAAGAAATAAAGATCGTCCAAATATCCACAGCCTAAAAGAAATCATAATGATTCTTAGTCTAAATTTGACTGTAGTTCATTGACAACTATGAGAAATGTGAAATAAATATAAATTATTGAAATGATTCTTCCTTCTTTAACTGTACAGATTGGGAAAGACACATTGTATGCCTGTACTTGCTAATTTTCTATAAATAAATTATATATAGTTAATGTTTATAATGTATTATAGGATACAAGGAAATATCTAGGTCAAAAGAGAGCAACCATGCTTTTTAATATCACCATTAGTAAGATGGTCATTTACTATGTCAAATCACTGGTGCAAGACCATCACTCAAACCACTGCAGAGGAAAAAATAAGTCAGAACATTTTTCTTTACTATTCATGTGCTTGTGTTAAAATATTAAGACAACATTCTAAAGAAAAATTACTACAGGCGTTTGCTATAGAGGTTTTGATATAAACTTTAAAAAAGTCTTTGTTGTTATTATATTGCCAGCATAAGATTAGCAAATGTTTGGTACTGTGAACCATACAAAATGGAAAAAAAAAGAAAATCTCATAATTTCTAGTTTAACAGATAGGACAGAAGTGAATTACTTAGGGAAGCATATTCTCAAAGAATTTGATACAGTTAAAGTGTCCAGTTCTTTTTATAAACTTATTTGGGGAAGAATATTTTTTATTTCGTTTTTACATTTTGAAAATATCTCAGGTCAATATATTTTTTCCCGATACATATACTGAAGATATATAGGTATTGATTTAAGAGGAAAGTGAAAAATTGTGAGGCTATTTCATAATTTTCAGGCAGCTATAATAGTTAATAATCATCTCAGTCCTATTCTATTATCTAATTGTATCTAGAAAACTAATAAACTAAAAGATTACTCTTAAGTTACTTGAGCAAGATAGATTAGCTGGCTATCCATAAGTAAAATTGAGAAGGGATCGTAATTATCTTTGGTAAACTATTTTTCCTTTACATGTTATCTGTCTCCATCTTTTTATTATAAACTTTTCCCCACAAAGACTCCATATCCAGAATTTTCTTGTCATCCTCTATCCTGTATTTTTTAATGTCATATTTCATTATGTATTAGTTTGCTTTATTTTATCTTTTAGGGATCTGGAGCTCCAGATTCCAACTAATTTACTGGATAGTCTAATAAAAACTTTAATATTCTGAGGGTCGTTATAAAGAATTTGGGAACCAAAAGATGTTCCTTTGAGAGTCAGTGAGCACTTCCACTTATCTCCAACCTCACTGGTTTTCCTCAACACCACTCCCAACACCTTTAGGCTTATCCATTAGTTATTCTAGTGGTTAGAATGTATATCCAGAAAAGGGAAAATGTGAGCCTGTTCTTTAAAGGCTCGGTCCTTTGACTTTGTGTCATCTTAAAGGACTTCTCAGTCTCATTAACTTTTTTTCCTATGTAGTGAACCATTCATAATATTCTCTGGTGGGCTGTCCTATGACAAAGCTTGCAGAAGACCAAGTTTAACCATCATGCATGGAAAAGCAATTACAGTACTTGAAATGGATCATCCTATTGTTGAATTTCTAACTTTATGTGAAACACCCTATCCAAATGGTAAGTAACTAAAATGAAACTATAATTATTGAAAAAATCATTTTGAAATGAGAAGTTCCTAACAAAATTAAGGTTCAATATTTTCAGTTTTGGCAGCAGATATCCACTGTGGTACACTGTGAGCTACAGGTGCTGGAGCAGGTTCTGCAATTGTACCTACTTGACAAACTGGAAGTAAGACAGATGTAGTGCAGCAGTGCTGGCGTTTCAGGTTCTAATATCAGGTAAGTGCTTTAAACTTTGATAAGGATGGTGGAAGCTGAGCTGGGAGGGTCCGATAGGGGTCCAGGGTAAAATCACTTGGGGAAACTGAGGTCTCCTAATAGTCTCTCCTAGACCAGCTCCACCCATCCCATCCCAAAGTCAATCAAAGTTAAAGCACTTACCCGATATCAGTGATCTGTAACTATGGTGGTGCTGCATCTGTTTCACATCTGGCTTTGGTTCAGATGCAACTGCAGCACATCTGATTACTATAGGATTGCTGATGTGTGGTTAGTGATTTATTTCAATTTTGAGAATGATTAGTCAGAGGATATTCAGAAGGAGAGATGTATATATATTTTTATCAAGCTGAGTATAAATAAAAGCTTTTTGTAAATGAAGAAACTATTTTAAATCCATGCAAACTGTATAATTAAATCTAATAGTGATAAAATACTTTAATGATATCTAAAACTGAGAAATATGAAAATGTAAAAATGAAATATGAACTTATTATTGAAAGAACATAATATGTGTATACATTATTACATTTTTAAGAGGGAACATAAGTATGGGGAAAGAGCACTGAACTTGAGGACAGAATATTGGGTTTATGGTTTAGTTATGCTACTTACTGGCTGTGTCATATTGAACAAGACATTTTACATTTCATTTGTCATTTATAGAAAGAGAATAATAACATTGTCCCCATTTGGAAGGTCAAGTGTATATACTTTTTAAACTATGAAGATATGCATGTTGTGTTTCATTATTAAATGCATTAATTTCTTTTAAATTATTGAGTTTCATAATTAAAAGGTAGAATAAATAACAATCAATGTACAGCTTATGTCCAGAATTACTAGAAAGAAATTACCTGTGTTAATCAATCAACAAATATTTATTGAATGCATCTATATACTCACTACTACAAAGACTTGTTAGACAAACAGATAAAATATGAAACTGGGTCTCTGACGTCAAGTTGCCTAAAATCTGATCAGATGAGTGACCTAATTATGACTTGCTGAGTTGAAGTAAATGTAAGACCTTAATTAAATGCTGAGTTGTATGATTCAGAATATAATGTATGAATTAATAAGCTGATAAATACTTGATGACTGAAATATTCATGAAAGCATCACAGAAAACTAGGATTTAGGTAGACCTTATAAAGGATATTGATAATCATTTCAAAAATTGTAAGGTTTGCTTGGGTGAGATCAATTTAGAAAAAATTTCTGTTTTAGAGATTTTTGGAAATAGGGAACTATGAAGAATTTTGAGGAAATGCTAAAATGAAAGAAAGCATTAATTTTAGTAAGATTTACTCAAAAACAGTGTGTAGGTTTGAAGAGAGACACTGAAATCTTAAATCCAGATTCCAACTGAGAGACTTTTGTAATAATGTATGTTTAAAACACTACCTATAGAATTCAGTGAGGAAAATCCTCTGAATTTTGTGAACAACTGGATTAGGGACTGACTTGAAAAATGAGCCAGCAATAACCACATGTTTTAAGATTAGTGGTTTCATGCACAATAGTAGTTTTTGAAAAGAGAAAGACTGAGTCAGTGGAGTAGTTGAGAGGACAGAAAAAGTCTTAACAATATTTATTCATAAATCATTAGAATATAAGTTTTCTGTGGATTTATGAGAATGAATAACAAAGAAATATAGGAAGAAAAAGTAAAAAGAGTAAAGGACTAAAAGTTGAAGTTGGGAAAATACTTTCTGTTAATAGCTTGAGGAAGAAGATATGCCAGTAATAAAAATTGAGAATGTGTTGTTGCAAAGAACAAACATAACATTTCTGGACACCAATAGAGAAGTTAGGGTAAGTTCTAATGATATGTAATAAAATATAAATGTACTGCAACCATGCCTATTACTTCTAAAACACACATATAAATCTCTGTTTTACAATTGGTAATGAATATTGAACTTTTCATTTGCTAGGGGTTAGAAGTAGTTTAATTTTACCAGTGAATTATAAATATATCTTATTAACTATTAAAATGTGTTTTTAAATATTAAAATGGTTAATGATACTTAGTAATACATAATGAAAAATTTCTCATTGCCCTTCAAGAGACAAATGATGTTACTAATTTACTTATGTATTCTCCCTAAAACAATCTATGCATTTATGTACTCATTTAATTATATATTATCTCTCTTTTTTTTTTTTACAAATGACAGCATGCTGTATGCACTATCCTATATCATACTTTTTCACTTAAAATTTTAATTATTTCATATGAATAAATTCAGGATTTCAATCTTTTTGTAGTTGCATAATGACAAATATTGTGCATAGGTTAAACCAAGTTATTAACACTTTTACTATGTTGAAGGCTAGGATTAAAGTCAGGAGTAAACCAATCCAATAGATGAAGAATACAGTTGGCAGCTGGCACTAACTTTGCCAGGCTTTCCAATAAACATCTTCATGTTCATCTAACCTTTAGTTATTATTGTGTCATTTCAATGGGTAAATGAATTGGAAGTCAAAGAAATTAACTAATTTGCCCAAGTTAAAACTCTTAGTAAATAGTAGATACAAAATTGAACCTAACTTTGATTCCTAAAGAATTTTTTTTTGTTCATTAGTTATCACCGCATATAAGATACTTCTATAAAGTTGAGACCTCTGCTGCCAGTTTTTGTTATTTGTAAGGAACAACAGTAAACTAAAACAAATATAGTTACCTAAAATTATAATTTATTTATAACTTTATACATATGAGTGTCTCAGTTATTTTAATAGCCCTTACTTTATAACCAGTAAGGAAAGAAGGCAAAGTGATAATAACTAGTCACATGGAACCCTGGTGTTCTTCAAACTGAAAAACAAAACATTGAAACAAGATTGAAAACCTTAAAACAAGTCTATAGACAAGGAAAAAGAGAGAAAGTTTCAGTTTGAGAACAATTTGAATAGCAAACAGTATATAGACATTCTGTCACATAGATATATATCTAAGTACTATACACCAGCAAGTGCCAGCTCTTTTTCAGGATTTTGTTTTGTGTTTTACAGTTTTTCTCTCATACACATGTGGGTTTAAACATAAACCTGAATAGGCTTAATAGCTGCTTGGGTCTGGAGGGACTATGAAAATTATGTATTCCAGTATTTAAATTTTACATCCAAGATTTGAATCCTTTGAACAAAACTCCTACCAAGTGATTGTTGGATTTAGGATTTAATAATTTTCAACATAGCCAGTATAAACTGCTAATATGATGTAAATGGGATTCAGAGTCAGAAGGCCTGTGTTAAAGTTTTAGCTTGATCATGTACTGCTTGCATAACCTTGTTGTCAAGCTCTTAACTTCTTTGTATCTGTTTTATAGCATAAAATGGAAAAATAATAATACGTATTCTAACTATTGAAAATCAATATCATGAACATAAAATTTGTTTATAAATACCTCTTCCTTAAATTGAGAATAATTCTTTTGCTGTAACTTTCCTTTAGTCCTTTATTATAAAAAAGCAATGACTTCCTTGACTCTAACTAGATTAGTATCCCTCTTCCTCTAAATGTAAATAATTTTTATGTCCTAATTTATCCCTATCCCTAACTGTAGTCATAGCACACATAATTTCCAGAAATTTTCTTATTTCTTTACTTATTCATGGTTGGAAAACGTCCAACTACATGACAAAGAGTACTGTAAACTAAATGAGAAAGAGTACCTTGACAGTCTTATTTCCCATATATCCATTGTTCATAAAACAGTTTCTGGAATATATTGGAAGAAGGAAAAAAACCTGAATAGGCTCAGTAGCTGCTTGATGTATTTAATTCCATAGTATTAAGTTTCATTTTTTCTTGTTCTCCAAAGTAATGTTAATATTAAAATTGAGAAAAACAACATAGTTTTATAAAGTGCTCTGTTATTTTGGCTCTTAAGGGAAAAGAAAATGAAGGAGGGAGGGAAGGTTAGATTTTAGAAACTTAAACATATTAGACTATTCTCATACTCTCTGCTTTTTCTAGATATATATTCCTAGGCACAGAGTAGGCAATCTCTGTTTGCACCATTAAAACAGTTCATACATCAAACTACCAGAAGAGAGAACATACAATACACAGCAAAAAATAATGAAAAGTTTCTTATTGCCCTTCCTGAGACAATAATGTTACCAATTTATTTTTTTATTCTCCCCAAAATAATCTATGTATATATGCACTCACTTATCTCTTCTTTTGTTCAAATGACAGCAAAAGAATGTACTGTCCTATATTATACTTTAACACAGTCCTCCTAATTCTGAATTCCATTCATTTTCATTATATTGGCAGCATTCGTGTTAAGTCACATTAAATTGAAAGTAAACTTTAGTACAAGTACTGTTACTTTCATAGGGAGGTGAATATGGATCATATCAAAACAGAATTAGTACTTTCTCAGTACATCTAATGTAGGCATGATATCAGATCTAAAATACTATGGTTACAAAGAATATAATTACTTGTAAATGAAAGTGATAACCTCATCTCCTCACATAACTCATACTTTCACCACTCCATAATTATCTGATGTATTTAATTCCATAGTATTAAGTTTCATTTTTTCTTGTTCTCCAAAGTAATGTTAACATTAAAATTGAGAAAAACAACATAGTTTTATAAAGTGCTCTGCCATTTTTGTTCTTATTTTGGTCTTCTCAGATCATTTAAATAATAATAATTATTTGTATAAGAACTAAAGAAAATGAAATTTTGGTGATTTTTATGAATGCAATCTGAAAACTTAAATTTTAAAATTTTTACTTGTAGAATTTCAAGAACCCTATGCTGTCGTCGTACTTCTGGAGAAAGATCTCATTGTAGTTGATCTGACACAAAGCAAGTAAGTTATTTACATATAGATCAACATGAACTATTTTAAAATTCTCTTCATTACAGTTAAATTGAAGAAAGTACATTTTAGATAATTGACTTTTTAGTATTCTTTAGATGGTTAGTTTTCTTTATGTGAAAAATTGTTTTTCTAAAATTACAGAAATATGATTTAGTTAAATGATCAAAACTAATCCAAAAGAGAACTGAGAATATTTTCTGATATCTTTAAGACAACACCTGATATTTGGATAGAAGCATTTGAAGACTCAGTACATAAAGTGGATCACATTTCTGACATCTCATTAATAAGCAAAAACAATTGTTACAAAAACTTGCAATTGTTATAAAAAATGTTTTCATTATATTGGCAGCATATATGTGTTATAACAGATGGCAGCTAGTCTATTGACTGGAAGAAAACTGGTTAAATGAAAATGACATGTGATAAGTGGGATCTTGGGGATAGAGAGGATTGGGGTCTTGTTTTACTTTCTATTCTTTTACATTATGTTGTAGACATTTGAAACAAATAGAGGATATTTCTGGAACAGTGGTGCTCTCAGCTCCCTTATGTTGGCAGTGGACTTGAAATTGATGAACATTGTCTTCAGGCTAAACATTTTTATTATAAATGGTGATAGGCATGAAATTAATTTCCCTCAGTGTGTATTCTAGACCCACTGATTTTAATCCCTTATGTCTAAAGAAGAATTTTGTATATTCTTTCCCCTTTACCTGGAACAGTCTTTTTTTCCGAATATCTTAGGAATCTCAACTTAGAAATCACTTCCTAATTAAAAAGAAATCTTGGTCAAATATCCTAATACTTCATAGCCCTCATATTCCTTACTTCATATTGACATAGATACAATTTTCCCTTTGTTGTTTAAACATTGTCTCCCTAATAAACAATAGGCTCCATTAGAGGTTGTATGCTCACATGGAATTAGGTTCTCAATAAATTTTTGTTAAATAAATTAGTTTGTATTAAACTTTCAACATAGCTTGTAAGAGCCAATGTTCTTCTTTATACTAATTTGCCACATATGTCAATAATGTGATGGAGATGTAGGATTTTGACTCTAAGATCATCATAACTGTGAATTCTAGAAAGCCCTACATATCAACATTAAGCTTGAAAATTTTGTAAGGATTTATATTTCTTCATCTAACAAGTTCTTTTGTAAGTTTTATTAAAATGTATTCTTCTGATCTCCTTGGTGCTCAGCTCTGCTTTGCATGTAGTATTTGTTGGTTCTTCATACCTGTCTAGTATCCTCCAAGACTCACTATACTTACCTTTAATACTTCACTTTTCAGTGTGTTTATTAAATTTTTTTCATTGTGGCGAAATATGTGTAACATGAAAGTTGCTATACATGTGTTATGATTCTCATTTCTTTATATGAATTTATATTTTGTTTACAAGTTTTATCTAACATTTTACTTTTTAGCACTATTTTTTTCTTTTTTTCTTATTTTAAAAATGTTTGCTGGGCATGGTGGCACATATCTGTAATCCCAGGTACTTGGGAGGCTGAGGCCTCAGCAACATCGAGGAGCTAAGCAACTCAATGAGACCTTATCTTTAAATAAAACACAAATTAGGATGGAGATGCAGCTCAGTGGTTGAGTTCCCCTGAGTTCAACCCCCGATATCCCCACCAAAAAAATGTTTTATTAGTGTATTATGTAATAATGATGTTTAATTTTATGTAATCACATGCATGCATGGAATATAATTTGTTCTATTTCAGTCCCTAGAATTTTTTCCTTTTCCTCCTTTCCTCCCTTCTCCTTTGTTACTCTACTGGTCTAACTTCTATTTATAGCTTTTTAAATTAATGCTTTATAGATATGCATAAAGGTGAAATTCACTGTGACAAATTCACATATGTACATAGCATAATTTGTTCAATTTCATTCCACTCCTCCTCCCTTTTCCTCACCCTCAATCCCTTTCTTTTCCACTGATGTCCCTTCCATTTTCATGGGATTCACACATATGATTTTTTTTTCCTTATTTTTGGTCTCACTTCCACATATGTGAGAAAATGTTCAACTCTTGATTTTCTGATTCTGCCTTTTATCACTTAGCATCCATTTAACAGAAAATACCATATTTTTATTCTTCTTTATGATTGAGTAAAACTCCATTGTGTGTGTGTGTGTGTGTGTGTGTGTGTGTGTGTGTGTATACACATCACATTTTCTTTATCCATTCATCTATTGACAGGCATTTGGGCTGGTTCCATAAATTTGATTTTGTGAATGGAGTTACTATAAACATTGATGAACCTATATTTAGTTCTTTCAGATAAATACTGAGGAGTAGATAGCTTGGTCAAATTCCTAGGTATTTGATCCAATTTGAGTTTGGACTTTTGCTTTTTTAACACATGTGACTTATGTGATATTCCCATTTCATTCACTTTTACATGAAATTTAACATGTCCAAACTGACAGTATATATTACTTTTAAGTAGATATGTTGAGTATTGAAACAAGTTGTAACTTGGGAGTCCTTTTCAAATCTCTCTCTTACCATTTAATTTCCAACATGAAGGAAAAAAAATAGGGTGTACAAATTCTTCTTCTTGGTTTCTTATTTTCATTTCCACAGCATTGTTTTTACTTTTTCATATAAAAAGCTATAGTAAATTTTTGTTTCTCTCTTCAGTGCCTTGTCAGGAGCCTATCATTGTTACCTCTTGCTATTACCAAATTGTAAGATGTAAGTCTGGAAGACAGATTATTTGTTTTATGACTAATTCTTTTAATTTATATTTTTTTAGAGAGAGAGAGAAGAGAGAGAGAATTTTTTAATATTTATTTTTTAGTTATTGGCAGACACAACATCTTTGTTTGTATGTGGTGCTGAGGATCGAATCCAGGCCGCATGCATGCCAGGCGTGCGCGATACCGCTTGAGCCACATCCCCAGCCCTTTGTCTAATTCTTCAATCTCAGAAATGTTAATTATAATTTGAAACCGAAATTTTAATCTATCTAGTTTAGCCTACTTGTTCTTTACTATGTCTAGCTCCTTTCTACTTGATTTTGTATGTACTGTTAACTTTATCTGGAATATCATATCTTTGCAGCATTTCAGAGTGGTAGAAAGAAAATTCCTGTCAACACACTCCCCATCACATATACAAACACATATCCACACACTCACTATATTCTCTCATGATTGGATTAAATTCCTAATTAAGTTACTAATAATAAGAGAAAATTATTTTTAACATTCATCCCCCAATAATAATATTAATCAGAAGTAGTATGATCACAGACTTTGAACAGAGGCAGCATAGACTATTACTCATTTTATATTGTACAGTACCTGTTACATGAGATGTTTTGAATACATTATAGCTACAAGATTTTTTTATTTTATTCTGTATTCATTCCTTTTTAAAATTATAGTAGGCTTGAGGAAATTCATTACATCCATAAATCTTCATTCCAGCTATGTTACTTGGGAAATGATCTTTAAAACATTCACAGATACGCAAACACCTACCAGTATGCACATCTTTTAATTACTCCTTCAAAAAAATTAAAAATTTGCCTATTTATAACCTCCCTTTAGAAAATATCAAATTTTATTAATACTTTAATATTTGCATATTTTATATAAACTATTTATGTGAAATACCCATTTAATATGATTTTTAATGAGTGAACTTTTTGCATATATTCTGTTTAATTCATTTTATTGGTATTATCAAAGATATGCCACTGTGGAATGTTGGCTTCTGAGAAGAAAATCAATTTGAGTACTTTTCAATTTGTATTAATATTACATTTTATAGATGACTGTTTTAAAAAGGCATTTGGTTTGTGTAATTTTTGTATTTTAGTACAAGAAAACAAGTGAAATTTGTAATTAATGTTTAGAGACATTTTAGAGCTTACTTTATAAAAAATATTTTTTATAAAATTCTTTTTTATCTTTGCAAAATGACACTAATATATTTTCTTTATCTATTAGTTTTCCTATCTTTGAAAATCCATATCCCATGGACATTCATGAATCACCAGTTACATGCACAGCATATTTTGCCGATTGCCCTCCAGACTTGATTTTAGTACTTTATTCTATAGGAGTCAAGCATAAAAAACAAGGATACAGTAATAAGGTAAAAATTATAAGCAAATTTTCTTATATTCATATCATTTTGACATACTTTTTTCTTTTATTTTTGTCTTTCCATACAGAAGGACTTGAGCTAAATTCTTTTGAAATCAGAATCTGGCATCATAAGTGATGTAACTTCTGAAATCCAAATTTTCTGAATTTTACATAGTTTTAAGTCTACAAAAATATAAATTTCTGATACATTAAGTATATAATTATATACAAAGATATTAATATATTTATTAACGTACTTGTATGCTATATACTTAAACTAACATTAAAATAAAAATATGTAACCTTTAATTATTTTAGATGAAGGATTATATTTTAAGACATTTGTGTCATTTCTCCCTAGTTTATCATTTATTAAATAATGTTTAGGAAAAATAATTATTTAAAGTCATTTGTTAGTAACATTCTAAAACTTATTTTTTTATATATTTACTACAAGATGAAAATATTTGCAATTGTCACAGACTATATATTGTGCTTTCTGTTATTTGCCCAATTATATTGGGGTGAAAAACTCTTAAGAGGCGTTACTTATATAGCATTATGTTAAAATGGCATCATAAAAGATGGGTAGCACACAGACTATATGATTCATGTAGCAACATTGTATTTGTACAATTAAAAATACTTCTTTTATTTGTTTATATGAATGGTAACATTAACTAAAATCTAGTTTTAAAGGAAATAGAATTGTGTGTTTAGAGAGGTGTTTGTTCATTGAAAGAATTAAAAGGTAACTTCACATTTCATCCTTTAATATTTTATAGCAATTTAATGTTAAGCAAGCCTTTAAAAATATTTTCATTTTAAGTTTCAAAGTCATTTAAACTAAAAAATAAAATTTATGTATTCTTCTTGGACAATCTATTTAGGAGTGGCCAATCAGTGGAGGAGCTTGGAACCTTGGAGCACAAACATATCCAGAAATTATTGTCACTGGGTAAGTAAGATGTTATTTGAGCTGTCACTTTATAACAAAAATATGTTTGCTGAATCTTGACCCTTTTGGGTAATTGTGCTCTTTGCAGACTAATAGTTTTTTAAGTAAAAATATAAGAAATAGCTTCAATTGAAATATTTTAATCTTAATGGAAGAAACTACTGGAAACAGAATTACAGCAACCACAAAAAAACACTATAAATTATATCAGCAGAAGGACATCAAAGGGTGAATATCAGGAGAGATCAGTCAAGGAAGATTTCCTCTGGAAACCATAGAATATTTACATTAGAAAGGTTCTTACCCACATTTCTTAATTCCTGCTATGTCCGGGAATCATTGCTTTATATTCCCTATTGAATGTTTTTTTAAAGTATGCTTCAACTTTATGCTGTTAGTGGGATTGTAAATCAGTATAGTCAGTATGAGTATAAAGGTTCCTCACAAGACTAGTAATGGAACCCTCATATGATCTAGCTATACCACTTTCAGTCTTTATCCTAAAGAATTAAAATCATCATGCTATAATGATACATGAATACCTATGTTTGTAATACCAGAATTCACAATAGCCAAATGATAGTTAGTCTAGGTGTCCTTCAGTGGATGAATGGAAAAAGAATGAAATTTTATCATTTGCAGGAAAATGGAACTTGAGGCCACTATGTAAAATGAAATAAACCAAATGCAGAAAGTTATTGGTTGTATGCTTTCTCTCATATGTGGAAGGTAAAGAGAATAAAGGAAAAAAAAAAGATGGGTATGATCTCAGAAAAATTAAAGTTAATAGAGAAGAGGAAATGACCCAGAGGGAAGGAGGAGCGAGGAACAAGAGGAGTGCTGGAGAGTGATAAAGACCAAATTATATTGTTATATTATGTGCCTGTATAGATATATAACAAGAAATCTCACTATATGTATAATCATAATGCACAAATAAAAATATGGAAAAAATAAGTGTGCTTCAAAACCAGTAGCACCACAAATTTTCTTGCTTTACATGATAACCTACTTCATATTCTAATATTAGGAATGAAAAGAGACACAGCTAAAGTTAATCATGAAATCTAGACAATAATAATGAGTTCTGTCAATGGGCAGATATAGTAAAGGTACTTTTCCCCACTAATTACAATCCAAATTCCTGGATGTTATGTGTAAGCCAAACATAAAACAACTAGGAAATCAGACTGGCTAAGGTATCCAAATCCTAAATACAAGTATGCTACTAAATTCCTTATGTCTTCTTTCTGTCTCATATATCCTATAAGTGGAACTAAAGAAGCTGGTAATGTGGAACTGTGAAAGTGCACAGACATGGAATAAATAAATGAAAGCCAGTACTCTAACCAAGGGATATGGAAAGTGGAACATTATTAAGACATGAAACTTTTTAAAAATAATTTCTTTAGACATACAATACAGACAGACACACACACACACATAAACACAAATCCACCACATCCTACTTTAAGGAAAGGCCAAGTGGGAAATCTAGGCTTTATCAGGTTAAAATGGGGTGTTCCAACTTCCCCAGATTGTCAGAGAAAGCAGAGTAGGAATATGTAACTTTCAGCTCCACAGGGCAAAACTTGTCCTTTGTGGTATCAGTGGTGACCACAAGGGAGCCAAAATTCCCGCCATTGTCCAGCAGTAATGAGGAGCCACTACTCCCTACCCCTTGTGTTAATGGAAGTCAATGAGAGAAGAATGAAGATAGGGCTGAAAAATGATCTAAGAAAATAATGGCTGAAAATATATCAAATTTAGCAAAAGATGTGAACTTGCAGATTTAAAAAGCTGAGTAAACTCCAAGAAATCCATATCAAGATATACCATACTCAAACTTCTAAATCTAAGCACAGAGACAAGAGTCTTGAAAACCACAAGAGAGAAATGACACCTCATTAGAAACCTTTGGAGCCCAAAGGAAACTTCAGTATTCTTCAAGTACTAGAAGAGGAAAAAAAAACCCAAAACAAGAATCCAGAATCCTAAGCCAGCTGTAGCAGTTTATGCTTGTAGTCCCAGTACTCAGGAGACTGAGGTGGGAGGATTGCTTGGATTCACGATTTCAAGACCAGCCTGAACAATATAGCAAAAACAAAAATAGAAAGAAACCAGCATCCTATACCCAGTGAAAATATCTGTCAGGAATTCAGAAATCAAGACATTCTCAGATGAAGGAAACTAAGAGAATGTATCCAACATGAAACCTACCTTTAAAAAATTGGCTAAAGGACATTGTTTGCAAAGAAAGGAAATGGAAGAAATGGAGGAAAGTTGGAGTATCAAGACAAAAGAAAAAGCCTAGTAAATAAAATTTTGGATAAATACAATAAGCTTTCCTTCTCTTGGGCTTTTAAAAGTATATATAATATATGATGGTCAAAGCATAGATTGTATTAACGTTGTCTAATGTGGATCCAAATGTGTACAGGAAATATTTAGGCTGATTATAAGTGGGAAAGGGTGAAAAGGTGTAAAGGGAAATAGAGCTTTTGTATTTCCCTTGACCTAGTAATAAAGACATCTTTGTGTTATGAATATAAAATGTAATGTAAAATTTGACCGCTAAAATTTTAGACAAAGAGGTATACTCAAAATATTATTGGCACATCAAGATGTATGCAATAAAATAATTAAGGTAATCAATAGGAGAGCAGAAAATAAAAACAAAAATAACTAGGGAAAAACAGAAAAGAAAAATAAAAGCAACAGACTTAAGCCTGAACATATCAATATTTACATTAAATATAAAACAGTCTAAATACATCCATTCAAATATATAGATAGGCAGAATGGACAAAAAATCATGACCCATCTGTGTGTGTGTGTGTGTGTGTGTGTGTGTGTGTGTGTGTGTGTGTGTTTATATTCACTTCAAATGTAATGGTATAGGCAGATTGAGAATAAAAGGATGGAAAAAGTATAAAAAAAAGAATCAATGGAGAATAATGTCAGTCAAGTGGTAGAATAGAAACTCTGGACTTCATTCTCCATAGAGATACTAACTTTTTAACTAGTGTACAGTCCATACGTTTTTTTATGAGAACTCTATAGAGTTTGGAAGTTGGAGAACTCCAGGTAAACTCAAAGCCAAGAACAGCACATTGAATTAGGCAAGGAAAGAAGTTTCATTTAGAACTTAGCCTCTCTTCCAAGCTGGCACAGCCAACAATCAGAATAAAAGTGCAACTTACAGTTTTTCTTTTGAAAGTGAAAGAGAAGAATGAAGCATACATCTAGTGTTGGATTTTCAGCAGCTGCTTAAACAACTGGTTTCTGTTTTACTGGACACAGCATTGATGGCTATGCTTTGGATACCTGGGGGCCACTGAGAACAAAGAGAGTTCATCAGTTTATTTTAGTATTAAAGAATTTTCAGTACTGCAAACAAATGCTAGAGGTAGTAGATGTATAAGCTTTTGAAAAAAATAAAACTGAAAAACTTTTCTAATTAGAAGTTTACAGAAAAGATATATCTCCATGAAAGATTTGAGAGCCCTGCAGAATATCTTTCAGTTTGGGCAGCTCAAGTGACCAGCTAAAGTGGGCAGGGAATCTTAATAGGTAGGTGTGAATGAAGTGAGGGACTAAGCCTGTGAAGACTGCACTTGTGGGCAGTAGCGGATTGAATTTCCTGCCCCATGAGTGGAATTCTTGGGAGGCTCCTGAAATCCAGACTTTCATCAGAGGTTGACAAGTACCAGGCCCTAGGGGTGTGTTGATCTAATTTTTCCAGCGTGGACACCATCCCACAAAACATAGACCTAAGTGCTACCTGCTAGTACTCCCTTCATAAAACTCTGCAGAAGCTTTACCTTGGGAGTGCACGGATTTGTTGTGTATGAACAAAACTCCAACTTCCTAATCTATCCCTCTTCATACTGGTGAGAAGGGAAGCTGAGACTTATTTCAAACAGTTTCAGCCATAGGCTACTTCAACTGGCAGCTCAGAGAATAGCATAAAAACAAGAGGGGTTAACAAACTCCAGCCCAGTCTCCCTCATGCTCCCTTGTTCACTATCTCTGTGTGTGTATCTTCTTGCCTTGCTGATTGGTTCAGAGACACATGCATATTTATTTCTTTTTTTAATTTTTAGCATTTTTAAAAAATAGTTATTCCTCCTTGTCTTTTGAGGATTGGGGATCTTTTTGGTTTATATATTTTGGTTTTGTTTTGTGTTGTTTTCATTTGTTTCTCTTTCTCTCTTTTCATCTCCTGCTAAGGGTCAAATTCAATTGTTCTCTCTTCCTCTCCTCCTTTACTTCACTTCTCGTATTGTTTTTTGCACCCTCCTTATAAATATCACCTGCTACATCACTTTGCCATTTCTGTTCACTTTTTTAAAATTATAAACTTTTCCACCTTCCTAGCACATTTTGTTTTCTCCTAATTAACTGTATTTTTACCATCTTTTAGAACTAATTTATTCATATAACTCCTGCCTTCACTATTAATGCTGATGCAGTTATTACTGCTATAATTGACACCTTCTGTTTAAAACCTGATCTAGTTCATGATTGTTATTTATACAGTTGATAATTACTGACCCTACCTTTCTCTCTCTCTCTCTCTCTCTCTCTCTCTCTCTCTCTCTCTCTCTCACACACACACACACACACACACACACACACACACACACGCACATATTAAAGGATCAAAACAATCATAGCTGGACTTCAGGTCCCACACCTTGTATCTTTCTATTCATATATCATTCCTGTTTCTGTGGTAATTAACGTTGTAGATGTCATAGTAGGAATTGGGTATTTACTTTAATGCTGTGTATTGTTTGCATCTTTTGTCACTATTGTTTGTTTCACAAAGTGCTAGGAACTTACAGGGACACTACAACTTCACAGAATGGAAATTCTCCTACTGAACTAAGCTCAACCAAAACACAGCATACATTGCCATCCACACAAATTAACAAGACTCAATCTTCAGCTACACTTCAATACAAAGAATACAAAAATCAACGCAAACTAATTAG